AATAGGAATTCACTCATCTTTCCCTTTCACTTTGTCTATATTATTAGGTAGAGGTTATTCTTGTAAAATATTCTAGGAACGAGGGGCTGAAACTTGATGGAAAGCACCTTTGTGACATGCTTCCTATTGATGCCCTATCAAACCACACCTTAAATAGTATGAAAGATTACCCTCGTACTCTACCTTATTCCAAAAACAATTCTCGTTCATCTATCAATCCAGATTTATGTAAGGAGTCGTTTTGAGACATCAATCTCAATACAAATTCGAGTAAGATGGAGTCAGTCAAGGAGCAATTTCTCTTATCTCGTTCTAAGATAATAGCATAAGCATTCTCCTATTCTCTTCAAGTATGATGGGGTAAAAAACCCGAGAAGAAGATATGGCAACCAAATCCAAGTCGTAACCTTAGGGTTATCCTTTCAAAATTCAAAATCTGGACTCTATCTAAAACTTTTATATATTGAGTTATGGATCTTATGATCCTTCTTTGCTAGTGATTTGATTGTGTCTCGCTTTAGAGTGTAGAAAAACCAACATATGTCTTGGATCTAATAACCATATAACGGGTTCCGAGTTGCAGCTGCTAATCAGCCATGATATGTTGTTTGATATTAACTAAGTTAGGATGTCCTCTCGAGAATTTAAGAACCGTGGTATTAGTGAATTGCGCTACGGTCTTGTCTAGTTTGAAGGCTAACAAAAGGCAAACGGGTTCCTCATTGATGAATGAGAGTCTGCCTTATTGTAAGAAGAAAGCCCTTGACATATAGCTTTCTTACCTTAGTTGATTATGACGCGCTATGATCTTTGAGCAACAAAGTATAATTAACATGAGGGTACCAAACATCAAGAGAATTATGTTCTAAAGGCAAGTGATGAGGGAAAACAAATCATGGATCCAATTTTATAGGGATTTTAGTCGGCTCATTATTGGTAACAACTCGGGGTTATAATAGTTGTGTAAACGTTGTAGCGACTTCAATGCTCGCTGCATTGCTATCCGGACTTTTTTGTTGATTCATTGTTGGTGCGTTGCTATCCAACCTTGCTCGTATTGGTTAGCAATAAAGGAAATTCATTTTATAGCCATGGTGGAAGTAGCTTACATAACTATTATGGGAGGGGTAGAATCGATATAATAGCTTCATTGTCGTTGCATTGTTATCCGTACTAACTTGTACCTTCATTCCGAGTTGCGTTGTTGTCCAAACTTGCTTGTACAAGTTGGCAATGAAGGAGATTCATCTTGTAGCCATGGTGAGGGAACATCCCATAGTAATGGTGGGAGTCGTGGCCTAGCCCTCATGGTTGGATTACAAAAGCAAGGTAGTAGCATTTTATGTCGACCTAAAGAGAAAGAGAAGATTAAGGATTTTGTTCATTTGCTTTTGATTTTTGTTACGGTTGTTACGGGTTGTATCTTGATTATAGGCAAAATTATAACTCTGAAATGTAGGAATCAACAAACTTGTATATATGTGTGTGTGTGAGAGAGAGAGAGAGAGGGGGAGAGAGAGAGAATACGATTATCGAAAAAGTTTTTTCTTAGAAATTACATGTTATCAAAGTTCGGTTTTAATTTCTCTTCTTCTTCTTTAATTGTCTACCTAAGTGAGCGAGTATGCAAACCTTTAGGTCACCCCCGTAGAGTGACTAGTTATTCTTATTGTTGGCCTAGGAAGGAGTGCCACCTGTCGATCAACTATCCCCAAAAGTCCAATCACCTTCACTTGAGTCGTCTAGTCTTGTACAACACATATCTATGCTATTTTGCTCCGATATCCATTCGAGTGTGAGATCTTTTTCAAATTAGGATCTTTTTTTAGTGTGTTTTATAGAAAAAAAATATAGAGTTATGTTTGATAAGAAATCATGAGTTATGCCCGATGTAATTCCCGTAATGTCCATAAAGGATCGTGCATTCTATAGAGGTACGGAATAAAATAAAATAAAAATTCTTTCATCTAAGGTTCTTAAGATTATGCACTTGGATCAACTAATCATATATTAACATAAGTATTAATATAAGTGAAAGATTAACTCTTGTAGCGTAGAAAACAATTAAGTAGAAAAAGAATCGTCCAAGTGTCCAACCTTTATCGGATTATCCACACTACTTAAACACTTAAAAAAAAAAAAGCTACGTAAATCGAAGAGTGCTAACTCCATTCCTTATGTATAGTTAATTCTTTTTCTAAAGAAATCAGTCGGGGTTTTTTGCGACAACTTTAGAGAGTATGTGCGACAATTCAAGCTTTTTATTTCTTGTTGTCGTGTGTGTAGGTTCTTTTTCTCTCGTTGCCACCTCTCTCCCTTTATGTATATAAAGGGGGTAGCATCATTGTCTTTCAAGGAAAAAGAGTTGCAAGAGGTGTGAGTTTGTTTGATCTTATCATTATAAACCTTGAATCTTATCTAATAGTGCTCAAGTTTATCCTTCCATCAAAACATCTTGCGGGCTTTTAAATTAAACCTATCGACCCAAACTCTTTTAGCCTAATTAATTATCAATTAATTTGAATCATCCAAACAAATTTGATTTTTGGTATTAGTTTGAAGCAACAATTTATTAGGAGTGTCAAACCAAGATCCAAGTCATTTTAAGGACCTAGTCTATTGGATATTCTTTTTTTATTTGGTACAACTCATTCCAACACAAAACCAATTTAATAGCATAGTAAAAATTTATAAACTAACATTTGAAATACTAATTATTTATAATCAATGCATATAATTATGCTTTTATTGAAGTTGATATAAAAAACATGAAAATTATAAAATAAATAAATATTGTTCTTTTTTTTTAATTATCATGAAAATTATTATAACCAAAACCGAGTCTTTTGAGTATTAATCACAACCATTGTGTAACTAAAAAAATCTCAACCATTATCTTTGGCTCGATCGGTTAACTAGGGATGGCAATGGATCGGATATAAAACGAGTATTCGTTTTACTCGGTTTAATAAATACCCATAAAGAATATCTAATGTGTATTATAGTGGGTAAAGATAAAAAAAAAAAAATACATACCCATTAATATGATTTCGGGATATGAATACCCTCTCTTTACCCCATTCATATCTACTAATTTATTTATTTATTTTTATTAACATGCAAGGATCTAATTGTATAAAATTTACAAATTAAGGATCAAAATATTTTTTTCAAAAATTTTGAAGACCAAAAATACTTACAAATAAATGACTAAAATGCAAAAAAAAGAAAAAAGAAAAAGAAAAAAAAAGAAGAAGAAGTAAGGATGAAAAAAACTTTTTTAAAAAAATATAAGGATTAAAATGAATATTTTTGATAAATTAAATTTAACAGATATTTAATGGGTATTAAATGGACGAGTAAACTAGTATGGATTAGATATAGGCTAGATATAGATTTATATGGTGATTTCTTAATGGGCAATAGATAGGGTAAAAAATTAAATTAATGAATCGGATATCTATCCATTGTCATCCTTACGATTAACAATGTTTTCTAATTATCATTGTCACTCGTAGTCTTAAAGCACATAAAAAATTAAAAAACTTAACTCCAATATAAACAAATAAAAATTAATTAACTAAACATAAAAATACTAGTGTTACATTCTTTTTTTAAAAAAAAAAAAAATTCTACTTAAAATAGATCCCACCTCTTTATAGTTGGTAGGTGGTTGTCAAATTAACTTGCATGTTTATTTTTGTATATCCTTTTTTCTTTATTGGATAATATTATTCCATGATATTAAATTCAAAATTATTAAAAGAAAATGCTGAAAATATTAAATAATAGTTTGTATGAAAATTTTGTTGATTTGTTTGTCTGTATAACATTTGCTCATTAAAAAACAGTGCATACTTTAGTAGTAAATTACGGTTGGTTAATAGGGATTCTAGTTTGATGTAAAATGAAATTCTATTGGGAAGCATAGATAAAGAGTTATATACAAGAGAAGACGTTAATTTGCTCATATCATGAACATGTAGAATAAGATACTTAGTAGAGTAAGAATTACACCAGTCTTATAATGTATTTTGTGAATGATCCAAGTACAACGACTTGACTCTTGAATGTTATTCCCACTCCACTTATTGTCAAGCAAATAGGCATCACACTTTTTCACTTTGGGTTTCTTTGTCATGAAAAAAAAAAAGTCACTCGTTTTTCTCTATTAGAGCAAAAATTGCAGAAGACTCAACGGTACAAACCAGACAAATCCACCTTACACACACGCAAAGAACTACACACGGCCGCGCTCGCCTGAGTTTGAGAGTAGCGGAAATGCGTTCCTGAGGGGAAAATGGAAGAAACTTGCGGGAGACTAGACATAGCAAGCCAAACAAATCTCTTCAGGCAGCAAAATGCATTGCCACTGAAGCGGATGATAGTGATATACTAATCGGCTATGAAGTTCCACATATGATGCAGAACAAAACCTGCACTTTTGAGATGGGAAGTGAACATTCCAATCACATCCATAACTTGTTGGCAAGGATATAGCAGGGGATTCAACAAATTTGCTCCCAACTCAAGTTAGATGAAAATTATTCACATCCATACCGACCCTGAAGGACCACTTATCATATTAGATATTCTATCAATTTATGCAAGACGAGGTGATTAGCTTGATGAGATATGCAGATTTCCTACCTGACAAGTTTCTGGCACCAACTGAATGTTTTACTCTCTGAAACAAACGATAGCATTAACAGCAGCCTTGAATTCATGCTATACCACTGTTGAGTACAAAAGAAATCAAAGAAAGGAATCCACACAGGCAGAAGAAGCCGTAAAGTGGAAAACAATTCACATAGAATAATCTTTACCACAGTCAATTAGGCAAATGTAACACCAAGGACTCTGCGACTAGCAACAGCCCACTTAGGCACTAGCAGAGTACATTAATAACATATAAAATCCACAATCTCATACCGAGTTATCAGGTATTATCAAAGATATAATTGCATGCTAACTCTGGCTGAAGAGAGTATGCTGTACAACTAATTGTTTCTCTGACTCAGCACACGCAGAATGGAAAGAAACAAGTTCAGAATGTCCAAATAGAGAGCAACGGAGGCCAAAATATACTCATCATAAGAGAAGCGCTTGATCAGGTGGTCAGTGTCATAAACAATATATCCACAGAAAATCAAAGCACTAATTCCACCATAAACTGCAGTTGATGTTGAGCCAAGTGGGAAGAACACCTGCATAATACCAGAACATCCATAACATCAGACCTATACACTGGGTGAACAAATAATAGATTTGTGGAGCTCAGAAAATATATCCATGGCCGGATCACTTGAAGAAAATGAGGCATCTGACCTGGATAAAACTAGTCAGGATAAGGATAATGAGGGCAGTGAAGAGAATTGGTCCAAGGAAGCTAAAGTCCTTGCCCTTCTTAGAAGCCCAGAAAGTGTACGCAGTTAGAGAGCAAACCACAGCTGAGGTCAGAATTAATGCCTCAAGCACGATATTACCTGAAAGCATACGAAAGCAAGACAATATTCACACCATAATTATAAAAGCTGCACATAAAGCAACCAGCAAGCAACGAATTATTAGATGTCCAAACAGGATAAGATAAAGATACCGACCTTCTATATTAGCACAGCTTGCTCCAACCAAGAGGCTCAGCGACACCGTGAAGAGGCCAAGAATGATCAGATTCACAGGGTGTTTCTGGTGATACACATGCAAGGGCCACAATACTGCATTTTTTTCCACTTATTATTTAGATTAAAAGCACAAAATTTCCAAGAAACATTCAAATTCACAATCCTCTTGCAAGTGATTGAATTAAGCCAATGATCTATTAAATCATTTCAACCATAGGCTTTAAAAAGAAACCCAGAGGCTCCGATTCAAGTTCCAATTTAACCCCAAGCCCCAAAATTTCAGATTAAATCAAGAAAAAAAAATACGCATATAAAAAAAAAAAACAAACAAACAAACAAACAAACAAACAAAAAATACGGATCAAGAAAACATAAACCCAATTTCAAGTTTGAATCTTTAAGCCCCCAAAAAAATCCTAAAACATGGAATTTAAAGCAAATAAACAAATCAAGAAAGGAAAAAGAAAGAAGCAAAAGGAAAGGAGAGATCTCGAATTGTGAGTACTTACAAATAAAGGGCAAAACTGATAGAAGCAAAACGAACCCAAAACTGCCCTTGAGGAGATCGGTCATGGGAGTATAAAGAACCGTAACAGCAGAGACGATGGTGGTGAGGACAAGCTGAGCAGCCAAGATGCCATAAACTTTGCGAATCAAGCCCCATCGTAACTGGTTCTCTCCAAGACTCAAACCTGGGTACAAAGTCTCTCCATTTCCTGCCTCCAAATCAATCTCCTTGCTCGCATCCTTGTTGCTAACGCTTGTGTAATCGTACATCTCTGCTAAATTTATTTATTTTTTTATTTTTTTGTTCTCTCTCTCTTCTCTTGGTTTCCTTCGTTATTCTTTCCGTAACAGAGGAGAGGAGGAGATGACCCCCCTTCATTTTTTTATAATTTTATTGAGAGCTGGAGGTGGTTTTCTTAAATGACGGATTATTCGGTTTGGGAAGTGTGACAGGCGAATGGGATGATAGGAAATGATGTGGGGTCCAGGTGGAATGAGTGGTTGACTGTAAATTGATGAAAGACAACGGCGGTGGTACTCTTTAGGTCTGTGACTCTAGATTTTTCATTGGAAAAATGAGTTGCTACCAGAAGTTCCACTGGTTCGATGTCAATTCCAAGGTGGCCACTAGTCTCGTTGTTGTTTGGTTCTATGATGACAAGATGTTATTCCCGGATAAGCTTTCACATATCCACCGTAAATTCTTTCTATTATTTTAGTCAAGGATAAGTCATTTAAATAAATTTTTGAAAAATTTACAAGAATTGCACTTCGTTAAACTTGTAGAGGATTTGTTTGTTCTGGTTTAAATCCGAGATTATAAGGTCCAATCAATTTTTTTTCTTTGATCTTTTTTAGATGATATAATAATGTAGCTGATTTGATTGATGAACTTCTCTCCACAATACCTTAAAATAATAATAATAATAATAATATTAATCTATATTTCTAAACCTTTTCAAACCAGATTGAATTCATTATAGTTATCAAAATTGGATTCTATAAGTTATGGTTATTAAAATTTCGATTCAAAACTGTAAAATTTTACCATTCTATGATTTAAACCATCTTGAATAATTTAGTTTTCATGCAAAATAATTTTTGTACATGATTGTAGAAAAATCAAGGTTTAAATAATTAAAATCACAAAATTGGAATTATATGGGATTCTTTTAGGATTTTACATTAGTTGAAACTAGTTAGATACCCACACTATACCTGCGAGTGGACAACGGTTACATGTATAAGGTTAACAATTCGTATATTTTAATGCGAGTTAAATTTTTTATTTTTGGTGATTAATATAAATTGAATTTATATATAGTTAATTTTTAACAAAACTAACGATATATATATATAGTAAATTAAGAGGAAAAAACCACCTAAATTGTAGAAATATATCGAAGTCAACATATTAAAATAAAAACTACAACAAAATTGGTTCGATAAATTCGAATAAATATATATAAAAAAACAAATAAAACTTGTGAATTTTTTGAACTCATTGTTATTTTTAAAAAAAAAATTGAGCCAAATTATCTAAAACATATTTTTAGCTCTCTTTGTGTGTGTGTGTGTGTGTGTGTGTGTGTGTGTGTGTGTGTGTGTGTGTCTCTCTCTCTCTCTCTCTCTCTCTCTCTATATATATATATAAAACACTCATTAACAATATAAAAATAATTATTGTATAAATTATAATAATATATCTTTAAAAAATAAAACATTGACATTCTAAATTTTTATTCCAAAATTCATATATTAAAAAACCAAATTTATTAACAAATAAAATTATATAAAAAAATAATTTAATGAGAATTTTAATAAGAAAAAAATAATTAAAAAAATAAATTTTAAACAATAAGAATAAAATAATCGGATATGTATGTTAACATCAATATCAAATATATAATTAGTATTGGTTCGGAGACATTAAAAGTACCAATAATATATATGTTTTCTTTCCCGATGAAGAGACCAATTATATATGATCGCTTAACTTGTATAACACTTATGCTATGACATTATGTATATTCCTTTAAGAGTTTCCTTTTGCCTCTTGGTGATCCAATCCCAAAACAAATCAAGATTTAAAATAATTAGCCAACTTTTTTTTTTATCATGAGATTGGTGGCCGGACTTTTAAAAATATAAAATAAATTATAGGAAGAAAAAAAGAGCGATGGTCGCGCCTAGTTGGTGTGTGTGTGTGTGTGTGTGTGTGTGTGTGTGTGTGTGTGTGTGTGTATAACCCACTTAAATTATATAGAATATGTCGAAGTGAATAGATTTAAATAAAAACTACTATAAAATTGATTTAAATAAAATCGATTATATATTTATATATAACCAAATAAAACTATGAATTTTTTTAAATAATTATTAATTTTTTTAAAAAAATTCAAGTCAAATTATTTTTTTAACTAATTATTATTTTTTAAAAAAATGAAGTTAAATTATTTAAAACACACTTTTAGCTCTTTGTAAATGGAGTCAAATTATTTAAAACATACTTGTAGCTCTTTCTCTCTCATTAGAATTTATATAAGCAACACCACCATTTTCATATAAAAATTATAAAAATAATCAATTGTATAAATTATAATAATATATCTTAAAAAATAAAAAAAAATCATGTTCCAAAATTTTATTTCAAAAGTCTTATATAAAAAAAAATTATTAACAAATTAAAAAAGAAAGGACAACTAAATCTCAACAACTCAACCCGTTAAAAAAAAAAAAAAGAGAGAGAGAGATGCCAATCGAAGAAAAAAATTTAAAAAGTTACGAGTAATAGGATCGTGAAAGATGCTACAAGCAATGGGACCGTGAATGACCAGTTTAGCAGACTTAGGTCTTTAAGAAAAAGAAAAAGAAAAAAAAAAGGCAAGGGGAAAAAAAGGAGGGGTAAGAAAAAGAAAAGAAAAGAAAAGACAAAAAAAAGGCAAGGCGGAAAAAGAGAGGGGGACCGTAGCATGAACAGTCTCATCCCCATTTGGTTTAGTTTTTTAGGTAATTATTAGTCCATTTCCATGTAATTAGGTTTCCTTTTGTTTTCCTTGTTTTATTTTTGTTGTTATTTTAATGTTGGATTTAGTACTTTGTTTTCTTTTTATAGAAAGTACACTTTTCTTATGTATTTAATTTACAAGATTTGCACAACAAATACTTTTATTGTGGATTTGGTATTTGATATTAATTATTAAGGTACTAAATATTTTTAAAGCCCTTTTATTTTTTAGAATGGATCAAACATCTCTAAATCAAAAGCTTATTAACGTTAAAAAGATATAAATAGAAAAAAATGAAGCACTAAACTTATTTTTGTTGATTATAAAAATTAACATAAATGTATAACTTGATCTACAAAGCTAAATTCTTTAGATTTTAGTAATAGTTAAGAATAATTGGAGAAGATTTTTAAATTACATGCCTATTAATTATTGGGTTAATAATTGTAGCGAGCTCGTTCTTTCATTTTTATTATGCAGCTCTATTCTTTTTCTTTTCTTTTTTTTGTCTTTATTGTGTTTCTATATTCTTTTTTTTTTTTGTCTTAATTTTGTTTCATTTTTTATTAAATTTAAATATATAAATGTTTTTAAAAAGGTGAAGATATATTGAGTCATTCTCATTAAAAATTAAAAAACAAAAAAAGGTGAAAACAAAAATATTCTCTTATAGATTTAAATCTATCTCTATGATAGTAAGTAAATTTTGAGTATAAAATAAAAAATTTATAATTTAGTTTAAAAAAAAATAGGAAAAAAGTTTTAGTTAAACTTTTAAACTTTTGAATAGTATTTATAATTTTATAATACATAAAAAGGGTTTATTATAATTTAATTATTTTTATTTTATAAATGTCTTAATTTGACTCAAAAGTGTGAATATAAATTTTGTTATACATTTTAACCAAATTGAAAAAAAAAATCATTAGTGTTGGGTCTAACAAAAAAGTATTTGTTTTAAAATAAATAAATAAGACAAAACCCACTTGTTTCAAATATTCAAACACCTTACCAACATACAATCATGCCCTACCTACCAGTTTCAGTAAGTTTGACTGGAGAATTGGCAATCCAAGACCTATACTTTGGTTGAAATCACGTTTGGTTATTTTTTTTATTTTTTACAAATGACAAGTTTGAACTCAAAACTTCTTAAAAGAGAGATATTAATATCAATTGAGCTATAGCTTATTGATTTATTTCATTATGATAACAATGGTTAAAGGTAACCTAAGGTTAGGGGTAAAAATCATTTATGTCAAAAAAAAAATATTGCTATAATAAGTCACATCTTATAGATTTTTATTATCAAAGTTAAACACGAGAGCAAACTATGGAATATTGATAAACAAAGATTGTTGTTGAATAGTATAGAAAATCATTATTCATGCATAATACAAAAATATAGTTCATGTAAATATAACTTATATGGTCCGAATTGGGTAACTAGAGTTAAAGAATCATGAAAAAATTTAATAAAAAAAAACAAATAAATGACATACATAAAATAATACGATGATTTAACATGATTCAACAAGGTACCTACATCTATAGAAAAAGATGAATCAAAGTTTTTATAGTGGGAAACTATGAATAAAGGTAGTAGTAGCTTAAAACACTAAAATCTATATTCCAAAAATTGCATTCTCTTTCTCTTTATAAAATTATCGTCCAACTAGTGAATAACCAAACATAACTATGGGCATTAAGAGGAACTTTGGAAGGAATTAGAAGGAACATGAATGATTGCATCATAAAAAACTTCATTCCTTTTTAATTTATGTATCATGCATGCAGTTGATGAGTCCAAGTGACCTCATTCATCTTTTTCCAACATAGGTTTGTATTTCTTATGCTACCGTAGGAAACTGCAATGAGTTGAAGTGTTAATTGTGTAATTTTTTTAATTACAATTCTACAAGAAAGCAAATATAATTTCATGGGCATTCAATTTATAGACAATAATCAGAATACTAATTGTCTATATATGGACATCACGACAAAAAAGAAAAAAATTCATCTAATAAAAAAATGATTTTGATAAGTAGAAAACCGATAAATTGTGTCTCTATATTACCTTATGCATCATTTCACTACAAACAAGTAATAAAAACCATGTTGAGTTTATGTTTGTTCGGGAGTAAGATGAAAAAAGTTAGATTATACCATAATTTATCTATTTACCATAGGCGATTAGAAAATAGAACTCTACAAGGAGTAACAACCTACTTAGCCAATAACAAAGTATATGAAAAGCATGTA